AAAAAAAAAAACTACAAGATTTTTTAAATACATACCAAAACTACCTCGCTAATGAAAAGTGACAAACCTTCCCTTGCCAAATAAACATCAATATGACGATCACAGTCATATACATCAACAGATTCAGGTTTAGACTTTTCACATACTTCAACTAGTGAAGGTTTAAAAAGGATATTAAGGATGAAAAGAGTTGCACTATAGATAAGCGTAAATACTGTGAAAACCCAAAAGGCAATGGACAGACGATACATCATAACAGCCTTTTCCTGTGTAAATGAAATCAAAATCAATACATACTTAAGATTGTGAATTACAAATATCACTACAATTAAAATTTGTCAGTTACCTTATTAACTGCGTGGATACCAAAAATACTAGAAATTGTTAAAAATGTGTATAAACAACCAGCAATACTTAAATAAATTTTATCTGATGTTACATCAACAACTAGATAATTTCAAATTGAATCGTTAATATGTGTATATATATTATACATTTAAAAACAAGTAAAATTTATTGACTTACAGGCCAATGTCATGAACGAAGCTAACGATCCTAGTAAACCAAAAAGCTAGAAAAAGACGAAAAGATAAATTTTTTAGATAATCACAACAAAAAAGTTTAATTCGATTCAAATTTACTTACGAGATACATTGATAAAATGGCTAAAACTCCAAATTGTTCTGGTATACAACCACAACAGCTTCGTCTCGTTATTTTATCATTCTGTACTGGGTGAGATTCCACAATAGTTATTGTGGGAAAAATACCTTTTTCATAACTATTGTTATTAACGTTGGTCATTTTTTTTTTTTAATTGTATATTCCTTTTAATTTTTTTTTTCCTCAGTATCCAAAAAATTAAAAAATTAAAAAAGTAGGAAAAACCCGTACAGCGATTTCAATAATAATAAGGAAAGTTTTTTTTTTTTAAAATAACAAAGCTGTACCAAAAAAAAAATTTTTTTTTTAAGCTGGATAAATCGACCTGCGATTTCCTTTGGTTTTATGAAGAAGGAAAGAAAAGCCTTTTTTTTTATGGGTTTGTGAATTGATATAAAAATTTTCATAGGGCGTGATTTCTTCAGGTTTATATACTTTCTAGAGTTACGAAAATCTTTCTTTCTTTGTGTTCTATGTTTAGATTAAATATCACAAACGGGCGCATTGTGATGTTCACGCAGAGTTTCGGCCTTTCTGAAATATTCTTTGTTACATTTAACACACATTGGTTTGATATCTATTAGTGACACACTACATTACCAGTTTCATCATTAGGGGCAACAGAGTTTCCACCTGAGAAGAATTGATACCATTTTTTATGTTTTACTAATTAGGAAACAATAATAAAATTCTTTCTATTTTTTATATTAAAGAAGTTATGTAATTATCTTATCGTACATGTGCATAACGATAATAAGATAATTATATTTTATTTTATAAAATTATTAATAACTTCTGACTTATTTAATTTATAAATGCTTATAGTAAAATAAAATTTAATTTATTAATAGGATAAAATAGGATAAAATAGGATAAATATAAAATATTAAATTTTAAAATTAAATTACAATTATTTTTATTCATTTTAAAACGTTTAATTTTTTATATTATAATATAAAACAAATATTATAACTAAAATTACCAAGGCAATTTCTATTTGTACACGAGTGTATTGTACACGGTCATGTGATACGGCCGGCATTAACATTACTTTTACCAATATGAAGAAATTAAGAATTACCTGTATAACATCACGATGAGTGATGAATAAGAAATTTTTCACCGAAAAATTTCTCTGTTTTCTGAAATAAATAGTAAAAACTAAAGACGGAGGGTATGACGCCGGTGACAAATATGTCACATGATACAGATACATATCCGTGTAACTTAGAATTTTCTTTTTTATATAGATAAGATATAGCTATATATATTTAAGTTTTTTTTTAAAAATTTATTAATTAAATTATTAAATTTAGAACTTAATATTTATCTTTTAGATTGTCAAACAAGTTCTCAAATGCTAATTTCACAAATATACCTTTTTTTGAAGTCCATTAGCCTAAAAGTTAATTTTTAAATTAGACATTTTATTGAAAAATTCAATTTTCTGAATGTCTATTTTCCTAATTCTGATTTTCTGAATAGATATTTTTCTGAATCAAATTTCTAATTTCATGAATTTTAATATTCTGAACACCCAATTTTTTGAATCCCTATATCCTGAATGAACATTTTTTGAATTAACCAAATTTGATACTCTGAATAAAATTCGCAATGTACAAATATTTTTAGAAATAATAGATCTACTATAATAATAGAAGGTAATTATATTTTATTAATTATTAATTTAAGAAAGATAATTCGAGAATATGAGTATTTATTATATTGAGATTCAGAAAATTAGTATTTAAGATGTTGGAATTCATGAAATTGGATATTCAGAAAATGAATATTTTATGCAATTCTAGAAATTGGATTTTAAAAAGTTGACATTTAAGATATTGAACTTTTCAATAAAATGTTTAATTTGGAAAATTTGTAATAAAAATAAATCTATAGAATTAGATGATATTAAATAAGTGATTTTAAATCTAATGATCTAGAATTTATTTATTTTTAATAAATATTTTTTTTTAAATTAGTATTTTAATACATTGTCAGCGGAAGAAATTGCAACTCCAAATATCACGTGGGATCTGTCGATCAATAATGATCTCACAGTAGATGA